CCCAGGTCAAAACCAAAGCCAAAACCAAACCAAAGCCAAGCCTAAGCCCGAGCCTGAGCCTAGGCCTAAGCCTGAGCCTAAGCTTAAGCCTGAACCTAAGCCTAAACAAGGGTAATTGCTTGCACCTTAGCTCCGGGAACTGGCTGAGAACCCGGAAATGGGGGTTCAGCCCAAACCCAAAGAGACTTAGTGCGCTGGCCGCTAGTTTTCGCACTAAGTTCAAGCTAAAGCCAAAGCCTAAGCCTATGCCTATGCCTAAGCTCAAGCCAAAGCCAAACTAGGCTAGCCAATGGCTAGGCCAGGGTTGACAAAGGTTCAATTGGCTTTAGCCCATAAATTCAGCCTTATCTTCGGCCTAATTCGCTCACCTTTTGCTTGGCTTGACCTTGGGAAATTGAGCAAAACTAGTTGGCTTGGCTTGGCCTGGAAATCTGGCTCTTTTAAGAACCCTGCCCCAGCCCTACCCTCACTCAGCCCTTAAACGAAGCCCCACACCTACCCCAGCTCTTTTTCACTTCATCCAGGCCTCACCCTCATTCAAAGCCTTGATATTTCTCTTTTTCTATAACCAATCCCTTGCACCTCTCTGAAAAAAAAACTCTCATTTCTCTTTCTTTCCTTTCCTCTTCTCTCTTTGAGTTTTTTTGAAGCGCCGAAAGCGCCGAAACTTTCATGTAAACATCTCAATCGTCATGGTGAAAAAAAAAAATTGAGAAGATTTTGAGATAATCGAGAATGGAGAATGAATTAAGATTGATACATAAAGATTTAAAGATTCCATTTAATAGGCAACTTTTTAAAAAGATCTATCAAAAAGGTTTTGTTTACAAGAGCTCAAAGTATAGCTGAAAGTATAGCTGAAAGTATAGCTAAAAGTATGGTTCAAAGTATGGTTCAAAGTCTGGCTCAAAGTATAGCTCAAAGTATAGCTCAAAGTCTGGCTTAAAGTCTGGCTCAAACTAACTAATTTTAGTCAAATTCCCTCCTTTGAAACTTTGAAACTAAAAGCTAGAGCTAGAAAAGCTAGAAATCTGAGGATCTGTGGCTATATTTGTGCTAGAGAATGTGCTTTTGCAAGAGCACAAAGTACAAGACAGAGTACAATTGATTTGATCTAGACAGTTAGATCAAAAAAATCTGAAATCGATTCTCAAAATTCCTCCATTCTTATCGATCCCCAAATTTCTTTCGTTTTCCCTTTTCCCCAGTCGATTTTCTTTTCAGATAAGGCCCAGGAGTCTCGGAGAAAAAAAAATTGAGAAAGAAAGAAAGAAAAGAAGAAAAAAGAACCGCCATTTTTCTCCACCCGAACGTTTTTTTTTTTTTTTTTTTGCCCACCACCCCCAAAATTAATCTATTCGGGCACACAAAATGATTGAAAACGAGAAGCGAAAATTTGTGAAAAATTGTGAAAAAGTTCACGCCCTAAGAAAAAGAAAAAGAAAAAGAAAAAGAAAAGAAAATCTTTTCTTTTTCTTTTTCAAAAACGTTTTATCAAAAAGCGTTCGATTTTTGAGTGGAAAAGATCCTTTTTAACAAAAGATTGATAAGTTTTCCTTTAGTTTTTTTGAAATTTTTTGAAATTTCGAATCGAGAAATGATAAATATTGTGTCACTGAACAATTTAAGAATAGTTATCTCTGATTGTTGTTCGGCTAAAAGCCTTCTGTGCTAAAAAGTATGCTTTTGCAAGAGCACAAAGCACAGCTTAGCTTTGGTTTTCATCAAATTTTATCATTAGAAGCTTTTTGGCTCTGGTCTTGGGAATTTTTGAATGAATAGTCATGCTTTAAAGGCTTTAAAGGCAGACTTTAAAGACACATAGCTTTCTTTAGAGATAATATTATTGTTAATTTTTGATATAGTTTAACAAGGAAACGTGGGGGGTTTCAAACAATAAAGCTTGATCAGACTAACGAGTCATGAGAAAATCGAGAAATCGAGACAATCAAGTCACAAACTTTCTCTTCTGATATTGAGAGTATTGGTTTAAAAGTTTTCCCAAAAAAGCTGTCCCAAGCAAAGTTGTCCCGACGAATCTATTCTAAACAAAAGCTGCCATAAGCAAAGCTTTCCCAAGAATAGCTGCCATGAGGAAAAGCTAGCTACCATGAGGAAAAGCTGTCATGAGGAAAAGCTGTCATGAGGAAAAGCTGTTCCAATACGGTCCTTTCTTTGATCCAATACGGTTCTTTTTTTGATCCAATATGGTTCCAATACGGTTCCAAGCTCTCCCAAGTAAAGCTTTCCCAAGTAAAGCTTTCCCAAGTAAAGCTCTCCCAAGTAAAGCTCTCCCAAGTAAAGCCTTCCCCAGCTTTCCCAACGATTTACCGATTCCAAAAGCGAACGGGTATCTATCGGGACGGTGTGCCAGATGGGGAGCGATTGTGCGCGCGCACAAAGAACACTTCGCCATCCATTCTTTTTCTTTATAAATTGCACAAAAAGATATTCAGCTATAAATTCGTACCCAGGAGTTTTCAGGGTCCGGGAATCGATTGGAGCTATTCATTTCATTGATTAGAACTTGAAATTTTTCTCATTTCCTTCTTGCAAAAGCCACATAGCTATCAGATTCAGCATTTGTTGTACAGTTGATATCTTAATTGTGCTTTGATCGATGACACCCCCTTCATAACAGTTCACAAAAATCAACACCCAAGTGTATCACAAACAAAGAAAAAAAATACCGCAACTTAGCTATACTTTTCGCCTTTTTCTTTTCTTCTTTCTTTCCCTTCTTTCTTCTTCTTCTTTCCCTTCTTTCTTCTTCTTCTTTCTCCCTTCTTTCTTAAACGTTCTCTTTTTTTTGTCCCAAAATCGCACTCAATCACAAATATAAAGAATTCGATTGGGGGAAAAGGATGAAGTAAGAAAATAAGAAATTTCTCAAATATTTACTCTTCAACACCCTTCACTCTTTTCCTTATGGTAAAGATTATATAATAAAGTAAGTTTTAAGGATTAGAATACTATTGAAAAAGTGAAAGATTATGGGTTAAAATGAAATGTAGCCGTAGATTAGTTAATCTTTTTTTTTTCAAATACCGACTGGGGCTACCAGTGGTGAATTTATCGCATACACGAAATATATCAATCACAATACAACGACACACACAATACTAGGCTATATCTTAACTTAACCCACGTCATGACAGACGGCTCCCTAACCCTAAGCTCAATGGGGAACTAAATAGCTTTTTTGGTGGTGAAGGGAAGATGACGATGAAGGAGTGGCTTGTCACTTTAAAGAACTGGGGCCACAACCACCAGACTGCCCTCCAGAAAACCTCTCAACCCGAAGGGAAAGGAAATCCGAAGGGGGTGACCATGTCGCATGTGGGGTTCGAACCCTCGACCTTCCGATTAAGATAAAAGACACTTAACCAGTCAGCCACACGTGCTGATAATTGATGAGATTTTTTAGATGAAAAAATTAGAGATTGAGAAATTCTACCCAAAAAAACCCTGAAAAAGTTGCGGGTGAAGTGAAGTGAAATCTCATTTTTTCGTTGTACACCTATTGAAAAAAAGATTTAAAATGAATAGCTAGAGAGCTGTTGCTAGTTGCTGCTAGTTGCTGTTGCTTAAAATGAATAGCTAGAGAGCTAGAGAGCTTACTAGGGAATGTTCTTAACTTCTTGTTAACTTATCGTAGCTTATGACTCAGAAAATAGCCTATCTGATGCAGTTTTTCACGCTGATTCCGAATCTGCAATCAGCTTTTGCTAAATGCTTCTATCTCGCGAGATATTTGGCATACAAGTTTTTATAAGGGCCTTTATAAGGGGCTTTATAAGGGGCTTTATAAGGGGCTTTATAAGGGCCTTTATAAGGGTCTTTATAACGGCAACGCACTGTCTTCAGTAAACGACCTGTTAACAGATTTGAGCATAAAGTATACCAAATTCTTCACTCAAAGATCAATCTCGCAAAGTTTCGTTCGTCGTTTACCTGGTGTTAATCCCTATTTATGTATTTGAGAACCCTAGGGTGATGAGTTGAGTCAACAAAAGAAAAGAGAGTCTTCGTCAAATAAGCACCCAATTTTTGACCCACTCAAAACTTGAGTGATACTTGTAGATGGTTTTTAAAGTTACAGTATGAGACAAAAAGTCATTGCATAGCCTCAAAGCGTTTACAGGCCTAGTTTTACCTATCTAAATTTATCTAGAGAGTATGTATCAGACAACAATTTAAATGGCTTTAGATCTATCCAGTAGTCATGGAGCCAGGAGAGGCAGGAGAGAGGTCAGGTCAAGTCAGACAAAGACCAGAGCCGAATAAGTCAAAGTATAGGCCAGGTCAGGCCAAGGAAGGCTAGGCAAAGGAAGGGTAGGCAAAGGAAGGCCAAGCTAGGGTCAAGCTAGGCCAGGGTCAAGCTAGGCTAGGGTCAAGCCAGGCCAGGCTTAGGCTTAGGTCAAGCCAGGCTAGGGTCAAGCTAGGCTAGGGTCAAGATAGGCCAGGGTCAAGCCAGGCCAAGAAAGGCCAAGCCAGGGTCAAGCCAGCCTCTAGCTTGACTTCTGATCTAAACCTGGTCTTGTCTGGCCTTGCTAGCTCTTAACCTAGCCTCTGACAGACTTGGTTTGCAGACACAGACCAGAGTCAAGCTTGAAAATCCAAGCCAGGTCAGACTAGGTTGACCTTGCTAACATTATCGAAATATATCTGTTATTAAAAGCCTTTACAACATTATATTCATTTTCAAGCTTGTTCTTTTTCTAACTGTTCTGTTCTTTCCAAACTAGTAAGTTAAGTAACAGTAAGTTCGGCAACAGTAAGTTAGGTAACAGTAAGTTAAGTAACAGTAAGTTCGGTAAGTTAACAAACTAGTATTCTTCTATTTTCAGACTTTCCCCAGTACCTAAACATTTCCACGGGGTCAGTAGAAAAGGATTCCGAGAAAAGAATTGGAAAAAGGTTAGGATTAAAGAAAAGAGGAATTGATGGGACTAAAGGAAAGAGAAGACTGGGAAATGCTAGACAACGAGAGTGGGTTATGGGGAAAGGAGGAGAGAGCGACGGGCAATATGGATTGCCACTGCACCCCCATCCCTCCTCCGTCCTTCCAACTAATGCTATTGGAAAGTTTAGAATCAGAAACAACTATTCGTAGACTAGCTATAGTTTCAATGGTTTTTATATAGCTGAAAATCTGAACAAAAATCTTGGAGGCTAGTTGAGCCCTAGTCCTGCCATGACTTGGCTTTTGTCGGGCTTTTGTCCCTCTTGCCGGTACTTGAAACGTTTTCTTTTAAATCTCTTTATAGAAGACAGTTCAGGCTTTTAAATGATATCAAATACAGTTTAATTGGATAATCCAATCCAGAAAAATCAAGTCAACTCTGAACAAACGAGGTCGATTCAACTCGGATCCAGTACTGCTTGATTTTTATGAGAATGAATAATCCAAATAAGCTCTATTTGGTATCATTCGAAAGCCTGAAAAGTCCTCTATTCAATGATATTAAAAGTTAGCAATAATATTATCTCTAAATAAAGTTATGAGCTTTCAAAGTATGGCGACTCGACGACTGACGACGAAAATATCTAGAAGCCGACAAAAGCTGATATAACTATCAATTATCAAAATCAATAATAAAAAGGAACTTAACGAGTAGATTAGGATAATGAAAATAGTCTATGAAGCACTGGAGTACAAAATAAGTACAATAATTCCTATAATAGTAGTCCCCTCTCATTGCGTTGCCTAGTCTAAGTTCACTCTTAAACAAACCCTCAGATCTCGTCACCAGTACTTTTGTTTCCAGATATTTAGGTATCAAATTAAAGTAGAGAAAATGAGTGTTATTTTAAGATATAACACTTATGTTTAGCATTAACTAGTGCTTAGAAAAAAGTGTTTGAATATTGATAAAAAATCAGCTTTTTTTGCCAGTTTTCAATCATTTTATTATAAGCGCTGGTTAATGCTAAAACTACATGTTATATCCCAAAAAATCACTCATTCTCTCTACTTTAATTTGAGATATAACACGTATGTTTAGCATTAACCAGCGCTTAGAATAAAATGATTGAAAAATGATGAAAAATCAGCTTTTTTTTTCTTTTTAATCATTTTTTCTAAGCGCTGGTTAACACTAAAATAAGCCAAAAACATAAGATAAACAATATATAAATGAAATAATCGATTTCTAGACAAAATTCGACTCACCATAAGTGCAATATAGTGTCGCTCGTGTACCCGCAATGGGCCAGCTCCATAGAAAAGTTCATTGATGCAGCGAACGAATGGCTCCTCGTATCGTGGATGTGATTGAATTACTCTAAATAAAAAATTTAGATGAGAAAGTTGGCAAAGTTTAATAGTTAGACAGTTAGACAATTATTCTGACTATCTTCTGCCTACTGATTATTCATTATTTTAAAAAAACCTACTGCAATAGGGGCTCCCATACTCTCGGCAATGCTGGCGGTGGTGAATAAGGAGTCATTTGCCCTCAGCCGCCTGAAAATTTGCAAAATTTAGATGATTTCTTTGAATTTGAAGAGAATTTGAAAAGATTTCGTTCAAAATTTAACAGTTTTCTTTGGCTTTTAACATAAAGATAAACTCTAGAAAAAGATTGAAAAGCAAGCAAGTAATTAAGTCAAAAATAAGCTAATAAAGGTTTTACGAATATCAAAAAAGGATTCAGGTTATCAAAAAAGGATTCAGGTTATCAAAAAAGGATTCAGGTTATCAAAAAAGCATTCAGGTTATCAAAAAAGGATCCAGGTTCCATTAAGCCATTAAGAAACATCCAAATAAAGTTCTAAATCGTTTTAAGTAATCGATTTTAAATGATTTGAATAAAAGAAATAGAGAAATAGATAGAAAGCATCATTTGGGACAACAAAAATTAACAATAATAGTTAAAGATTTGGGAGTTATTGAATAGAATAGAAAAGTAAATAAACTAAAGTAAAGTAAATTAAAAGCCTAATAAGCTAAAGTAAAGTAAATTAAAAGTCTAATAAACAAAAGTAAAGCAAAGTAAAGCTTAATAAACTGAAGTAAACCTAAACTAAAGTAAAGCCTAATAAACTGGAGTAAAGTAAAGTAAAGCCTAATAAACTGGAGTAAAGTAAAGTAAAGCCTAATAAACTGGAGTAAAGTAAATTAGAAGCCTAATAAAGTAAAGAAAAGTAAAGCAAAAGCCTAATAAACTAAAGTAAACCTAAAATAAAGTAAAGCCTAATAAACTGGAGTAAAGTAAAGCTTAATAAACTAAAGTAAAATAAATTAAAAGCCCAATAAACAAAAGTAATGTAAAGTAAAAGCCCAATAAAGTAAAGTAAAGCTTAATAAAGTAAAGTAAAGTAAATTAAGAGCCCAATAAACAAAAGTAAAGTAAAGTAATGTAAAGCAAAAGCCTAATAAATTAAAGTACAGTGACGTAAAAGCCTAATAAACTAAAGTAAAGTAAAGTAAAAGCCTAATAAAGTAAAGTAAAGCAAAGTAAAGCTTAATAAAGTAAAGTAAAGTAAATTAAAAGCCTAATAAACTGGAGTAAAGTAAATTAGAAGCCTAATAAACTAAAGTAAAATACCTAATAACCTGAGTAAAGTTAATTTTTAAAACAAAAACCAGTACAGGTTGTTTATTTCTGCAGGAAACGAAAGGAAAATGGAAAATGTGTCCAATGGGCGAATCAGGGAATAAATCTGAGAGAGGAATGGAAAAAAAGAAAAAGAAAAAGAAACAAGGCATCTTTTTCTCCCTTTTCCCCAAAAAGCTACAATTACAGCTATTGACGGAGTGGCCCTTTCCCATTCTTTTTTCCTCTTTCCCCCCTTTCCCATTCTCTTTCAATCTGCACTTTCTTTACCTTGAAAAACAACTCGCAAACTATTAACGATTCTCTCTACAAGGGAAATGGTTTAGTTAAGATAAAGAGTTAAGAAAACATTCGAATTTCATCATTTTTCTTGACAATTTAAAGTTTTTCCTGTTTTTCTCAGCATCAATCCTTCTATTTTGACTATTTTGACTATTATTTGATGCAGAATAAAATTGCGCGTCGAATGATACCAAAATCAACTCAAAATATAATATCTATGCAAAGTTGTTGGCTAAAAACCTAAACCCCGCCGATTATGAGCGGGACTTAACTTTTTGCCTCATAACTTTGCATGGATATTATATTTTGAGTTCATTTTGGTATCATTCGATGCGTAATTTGATTTTACATCAAATAATAGTCAAAATAGTAGGATTGATGCTGAGAAAAACAGGAAAAACTTTAAATTGTCAAGAAAAAAGGATAGACAGATGTTTTTTTTACAAGGCTAACCAGTAGCATCAGTATTCTAAATATCTAAAGGAAAACTAGGATCTAATAAAGCAAAGATTCATTTTAGATAAAGCAATAGGATTTTAGAACAATAGAATTTCCTAATTCCAAGCCTGAGCCAAGCCAAGCCAAGCCAAGCCTGAGCCAAGCCTGAGCCAAGCCAAGCCTGAGCCAAGCCAAGCCTGAGCCTAGCCAAGCCAAGCCTGAGCCAAGCCAAGCCTGAGCCTAGCCAAGCCTGAGCCTAGCCAAGCCTGAGCCTAGCCAAGCCTGAGCCTAGCCAAGCCTGAGCCAAGCCAAGATTTATCCAAAGATTTTGTTTCAAATCAAAAGCCTAACTTTGCAATAAGAAGCGATGCTTGATCTTTTTCTGACTCACAACTCGTAAAGATCAATTTGCGTAACTAAACCAGTCAAAAGTTGATTGAAAGAGTAAAAAAGAAATGGCTTTAACAATGCAATGCTTAAAAATAAAAGTTCCTAAAAAGATTTTCAATAAAATTTTGATGAAATGTACTTGTTTATCTATGTAGAAAAGGTTTTCTGGGGAATTTCTGGAGAATTGACGCTATTGTGTCTGCAAAAAGTCTCACTGTTTACCCCTTTTCACAAAAAAAGACGAATCAAAGCTGATAACAAAGTGAAAAAGGAAATGGAGCGAACGGATGAGCTTTTCTTTTAGAAAATACACAATTTGATGACTGAATATCGTTTAATTGATATTCAGCTATCAATTGAATATCTTTTGACTGAATATCTTTTAATGCGAGCGGGACAAATGCGACCTTTTTTCGCGTTTTAAAAAGCTAATATTAACCAATTTCTATTCCAAAAGTTGTTTTTCTAGGTAATTTTAGGGCGTAGAATCGAAATTTTGACATATCAGAGCTTGTGGAAACAAACGGACGGAATTATACAAAGAGAAAAATCGACAATTTCTTTATCGATTTTCTGTAATTTGATCTAGCCGTTTTGTCTTTCAAATTGGTTCCACACGCTCTGTTATGTCAAAATTTCGATTCTACGCCCTAAAATTACCTAGAAAAACAACTTTTGGAATAGAAATTGGTTAATATTAGCTTTTTAGAGCTTTTTTAAAACGCGAAAAAAGGTGCGCTAATGGGCTAAGTGCGGAAATACCTAGACCCTAGACTGATAACCCTAATCTAGACTGAATATCCTAATCTAGACTGAATACCGTAATCCGGCTCATTCTGACTGAATGCCTTGATTTAGACTGAATACCCTAATCTAGACTGAATACCGTAATCCAGCTAATCTTAACTAAATACTTTGACCTAGCCGTTTTGTCTTCCAAATTGGTTCCACACGCTCTGTTATATATATATATATATGTTGTGTCCGATTTAGATTTCCGTCCGATTTAGATTGAATCTAAATCGGGGTTGGCCCGGGTCGGGCCCCCCCCCCCCCGCCCTTTTTTTTTTTTTTTCCCCGGCCTCCGTTTAACCCCACCTAAAACGGGCGTGTGTATATGGATTGAACAATAATATAAACATGTTTAATATATGTTCTTAAGCGTTTTCTGTAGTTTTCTGCATTTTTCAAAGGTCTGTTACTGTCTTTTTCTGAAAAGAAAACCCAACTATGAAATAATCAATAAAAGACCTTTGAAAATGCAGAAAACTACAGAAAACGCTTAAGAACATATACTAAACATGTTTATATTATTGTTCAATCTATATAAGACGTCCGATTTAGATTGAGTCGTCCGATATAGACTGTAATCTAAATCGGACGTCCGCGATAAGTTCAATCTAAATCGGACGTCCGATTTAGATTGAATCTAAATCGGACACAACATATATATAGATACTTTATTCAGGACCTGAGATAAAGTGCGCTAGATTTAAGATTAAAACACATGAATTCATACAAATGTCAAAATGTTATGTCAAAATTTCGATTCTACGCCCTAAAATTACCTAGAAAAACAACTTTTGGAATAGAAATTGGTTAATATTAGCTTTTTAGAGCTTTTTTAAAACACGAAAAAGGTGCGCTAATGGGCAAGGTGCGGAAAAAAAGGTCGCATTTGTCCCACTCCCCAAAAAGAATAAAATGAAATGAACGAAAAAGGAAAAAAATTTCGCGCCAATTAAGTGGGGTACGGTAGTTTTACCACACTTTAAAGCGCCAACCCAGGATTTCGTCGGTAAATGGTCGAAAGTTGTAAAGTTGCGACCTTTTTCCGAGAATAATATAATATCTATCTTATAATATAATATCTATCATATATAACGCGAAAGAAGGTGTGCTAATGGGCCAGGTGCGCAAATGTCCGGGTGCGCAAAAGGTCGCATTTGTCCCACTCCCCTTTTAATTGATATTCAGTTATCAATTGAATATCTTTTAATTGATATTCAGTTGTCAATTGAATATCTTTTATTTGACATTCAATTATCAAATAAAATTCATTCAAATTCAAAATCAAGTGCCCAAGTGATTTTTTTTGTGCTTTTACGCTTATATGTAAACGCAATCCTTCTAGCGAACTCAATTCTTCATTTTTCTCAAAGAAATTATTGATTTCTCGAGAGAAAATGAAGAATTCAATGTGCTAGAAAGGGTTTGTGAGCAGTAAAAAAACACACTACAAAGAACGAATTAAAACGGATTTTTTTTGGTTGATGGATGTACTTTATGCTTGAAATTGTGCATAAAACTAAACTTTCAGTGAATTCAGTGCGCTAGAAGGGATGCGTTTACAATTTTCAAACACAAAATACAGTAAAAAGCTAGAGAAAAGGTTAAAAATTGAAAAGCTAGCTTAGCGAGCGAGCCAGTCAACTAAAGGATGGAGAATTGAAGAAGAAAAAATGGAAGAAGATTGACTGAGAAGAGACGAAAATTGGACCCTAGGGTGTTCTTTGGATTTAAACGTTTCCAGGAACGTTAAACAGAGAGAAATGACTCAAAAAATGGGCTTCAAAATCTCGTCTTTACAAATCAAAATTCAAGAGAACATGTCAATGATGTCAAAGATACCGAAGTAGTTGAATTGCTAAAATTTTCAGATTTTCATAAATCTAGCAATTATTCAATAGCTTCTTATAAAAAACGTAAAAGCGCTTTATTTGGCATACCAAAGTAAACTCAAGGATCAACTATAGTACCGGGGGAGGGCGGGAGGGCGATGA